TTTACTTTTATACTTATCAGATGGTCTGATCCCATCTCATCCTTCTTCTCTGAACATCTGGTGAACTGCTTCCCTAAATGTTGAGGTGCTGTCCATAAGCTACAGCACTGGGTGGTGACTATCTGAAGCCATGGCAGTCTGTGGATGGTGCAGAGGAAAACGCAGATGCTTCGGAACACTTAAGAACACAACCTCCAGTTTCTGTGCAAGTCTTGTGCTAGATGTTGTCTAGTGGCTTACCACCATCCAGGGATGGTTTTGGACATTTCATACTCTGTCAGAGCCTGTAAAACCCAGTGCTCAGACTGATAAGTGTGTCTTACTTTGAAATTGGTGTCACTACATCTTTCTGCACTGAGATGAAAAGCTGCCCTGTGCTACTCTTCAGGTTATATCAGAGCATTTCCAATTGGAAACCTTTATGGAAATAAATCCACCATTGAGGCATACAGGAAAGAGCATTCTTTTAATCTCTTTGACTTGTCCTTTGTGTAACAGAGCAAGTCTTGAGACATGTGTGAGCCGCCTGAAACGCTAAAGTCAAAATTATCTCCAATTCATTTCAAAAAAATAATGACCCTCTCCAGTATTTTGTTTCACTGGTACAACATGAATCAGATTCGTATTGTTTCCACAAAGCTTCTGGTTTTGTTTTGAATTTATTTCTCAATACTGCTGGTCTTTTCCATGTATGACAGAGCAGATTGAAGGGGCAATGTTTTGTTCACTGGCAACCTGATCTGTTTCACAGCACAATGGTATCATTATCCAGTACAGTTAAATTTATTACACTATGGTCCTATGAAATGGTTTGACATGCTTTCAACTAGTTAAATAACAATTTGATGGGATGTGAAAACCACAGGAGTCAGGAAGAAGGTAATAGTCTGTGAGTGGGCCTTATCTGTCTTGCAACACTGACACTTATGGTTTCAAGGGGAACTAAATACAACACATTTATGAACCTAATGCAAGAAGTGACCTGGGCTGGGCTTCACATGGGAGTAGAGATTTCTGGTCTGGTTGCCAGTGACCATGTTAGACTAGTGTTTGTCGCTTTGGTACTTTGTAGTACGTGGAAGAAACCACAAAGAATCCTTCACTAAAGGGAGAAATGATGTGTGTGAATGGGAAGCCTTAGGTCTCTGAAAAGAAAAAAAAAAATCAGTCTCCTTTGTTTTGTAAGGCAAACAATCTCAGAATTAAAGTTACTTCAGGCTGACAGAGTAGCCAATAGCAAGAACTGGAGACAGTAATTTTTGCACAAACTTAGGACTGTTTGTGCAAATTAGGCTAGTTGCAGCATATAACTTTGTAGAAAAGTCTAATGTAGAAGAGTGATTACATTTATTCTCTAAGCAGCCACCTTTTGCACTAGCTTCTTCCAAAATGTACAGCAACACTTGTATGGTGACTGCAATTTGAGTAGTGCTACTTATTCAGAATCACCATTTCACTATCATCTAATAAGAAATCTTTATTCTCTTATGCAAAATGCATTTCAAATAAATAATAATCTTTCAACTCTGAGCTCCCTGTAAAATATTTTATATTATTGAAATTATAAATAGGAAGTGCCAGTACCATGCCAGTTCCACCAGCACAGAAAAGAACACATTGTGAAGGAAAACATACCAGGTTTTTGTCACCCTATTTTGTTGTTTATAAAGCAAGTGCTTGTGAGAAAGATAATTTTGATTTCATAGTTCTTCAACTTAAATACAACTGTCATTTAAGCCACTACTATTATTTCATCACACACCCAGGAAAGCATATGCAGGCACACATCCATGGTGGCAAAAGATGTATGGCTGACCTACTTTCATGTCTTGCTGTGGTGACTGTGTATCAAATACAGTAAAATTTTTGCATGTGCAATTCTGCAAGCATCATCCATAGTTCCCCTTTAAAATGAACCTGTTACTAAAGAACTAGTTTTTCTGAAAACAACAGTCACAAGACAAGATGGCTTTGGTTTTCTGAAAAATTTTAGTCAGCTAAGGAGGAACTGATATGCATGCCACTTTGCTAATGTGAACCTCAGACCACCAAAAACTTTAGGAAAGACTACACCAAATGAAGTTTAGACTGAAGCATAGAAGGCATCTAAATACCCTTGCATCTTGTTTTCAAATTTTGATTAAAAATAAACTGCGTAACTTTTTATATATGTTTAGAAACATCCCATTCTGCTCTGACTTGCACAGAAGCACAGGTCTAAGACTTTTATATAGCATTAAAAATGTCTTGACTTTTGCTGCATTTTTGAAGTGATTTCATTTTGTTTTGAAGCATTTCCCCAGTGTGTGCACTGAGTTTACCAACACTGTCCTGACCTTGGAGATGGTGTGATATTTTACGGTGTGCAGTGACATTTATGTGCCCAACTTGGCTCCAATAAATAGGCTAATTTCCGCAAATTAAATGCCAGGTTTGAAACATTAAAAGGCAATTTAATAATTCTATATTGGCCTTTTGGATTCACAACTGGGGCAGTTGACTGGGCAGTCCTTTGTCAGCTCCAAATCCACAATTGCTACATAATTTTTTCACGTCTAAAGGGTCAAACTACAAGTGTTGGGAAAAGAAATAGTCAGGTTTATAGTTTCACATATTCTTGAACACCAAAACGCCAAATACATGGATCAATTAACAACTGACAGATTTATGCCAGAGGAATTAGTACAAATTTTAGACAATACTCCTTACACATCCCAAATTAGGCTGTATCAAAGTATCTCCTGATGTAAAGGCACCTTAAATGATGGAAAGTATAATACAAAAACCTTACTCTTAGTACAGAGTTAATATTCAGAGATTGGGAATAAGATTCAGAAATGTCCAACTGTAGATGCTGGACAAAGAATTTATTTTGGTTTTCAAAATCAAACCATGACTCATACGGATTTGGATTTCACTTCATACAAACATCTACTGGATATTAGGTGCCAGCTTTGGTTCTTTAATATAACATTTTTTAAAAAACAGTGGTCTTGAAGCTCCCCTTTCATTTGGCCTGAATTAATGTAATTTTGTTGCTACTAAATTACACATTAATCTTTACTATAACTGTTTACATAAATCAGACAAGAATAAGAGGATCTATGCAGGACCTTAAAATAAACTGAAGAACCATGTGATTAAAATAAATAGAGATACAAACCTAGCAATGACAAGAAAGCACACCAATTTAAAATACCATTCTTACAATTGTCTTGCTTGTTCAAAGAATGGTTTACACAAGTTATAGTTAGTAGCTAAACTGCAATTTAGCTTACATTTCCAGAGTCTGATTCCAAGTTATTCTTTATTCTGGTTTTTAAGTAATGTGTCTGAAGTTACTTCTACTATGTGTTCTCATTCTTGGGTAATCTTTCCAAAGGATATGAGTCACTTCTCCATTATTTGTAAAGAATATGGAAAAAGTAAAATATTATTATTTTGTGGGCATTTGGAACTGGATGTAAAAAAAATAGGTGGGATGTTGATCATTGTGAGTCATTTCTTGGGAAGATGGAAAGAACAAACACTAGCTGCTGACCTACTGCTATGAAGGCCAAGGACTTACTGCTGACTCAAAAAGTAGATATTGATAGCTGCAGAATACAAAGAAGATCTTGCATCAGGATTAAAGGGGAAAGGCTTTCCTCTTTAAGTAATTAGGAGTTATAAGGAACTGCTTGTGTTGATTTCTCAGAGGCTGTTTTTTGTTTAAACAATCTTCTAGTTTAAACATGTCAACCATCTAGAACTATATCCTGCAAATAGTTGTTACAACTAAATGAGTTTCCTTCTGAGTTTCCAAAAGTCCTGGCAAATCTTCAGGTAGGTAATAAAGTGCAAGACTGAACTCCATAGCACTGCGGTAGCTACACCAGTAACTCCCAGTGCAATCCCCTACTGTTTCTGAGTCTTTCATCAGTCCTGGTTGGTATAAATACTGGTATAAACAAAACTGAAGCAACATAAATACTTTGTAACACATTTGCATTCTGATCAACTAAGTGAAAAAACCCTGTTTTGATACCAAAACTGATTTTTGAAAATGACCTTTTTGCTAAATGGCCTTTGTATGCTTTATTTATACCAGTCAAGCAGCTGCACTGGGAACTACTGATTTACTTGTGTGTGTAACTAGACAAACTACCTGTAAAGCATGCACAACACAAAAGACAATGCATTTAATAATTATGACAACTATACCTATGATTTGCCTTTTTTTTTCAAGCTGCAGTGGACACACTATGATAAAGCCTGATAATTATCTTTTCTGCAGGTGTTTGTTTGTTTGTTGTGTTTTACTTTTTAATGAGGAAAGCTTCTTTCCAAATGTAAGGGTGCAGTATCATGGCAGCTTGAGCCAATTTAAGTCATGCCTGCTACTCTGCTCTGCTTCTTCTCATCTCCTTTCTGTACAAAAGAGATGTTTTTGTGCTAGCACAGGCACTTGAGCAACTCAATAGTGAGCCAGTTCAGAATGCTGATTGAAAACCAATTTTAAACACAGATTCCAATACTGGTAAGTGATGAATTGGGAATGAGCTGCAGGGTAGGATCATCAGGAACATGGCAGTCTGTATTTATGTTTGAAAAAGCTGCTGTGAAACCAAGTCTGAATGGAGGTTTCATGAAGAAACAATTGTACAAATGTGCTCTGTGACTACATAATAATTTTTTTAAAGACTTCTGATAAATATCTTAAAATCATAGTCTTACTAATGCTAATAAAACTACTATCTGCTCTGTGATCTTTATATTTGTTTATTCATTGTTCTTCTAAGTAAACCTGAAGCAGTGTTAACAGCTTGAATGCCATAGATTTCAAAAAATCAGTAACAAGTAAAATGCTACATTAAAATGTTCACACTTTAACAAAATGATTGTGGATGTTTACATAAATTGGTTTTAAAGCATAAATGTTTAACAGTCCAACAGTCCACTAGAGAATGTTAACTTAGGAATGCAAACGGATCTATATGCCTAATTCTTATTTCTTAATGTCAGTCAGAGGCCTCACTTGGCCACTTCAAATCCTTAAAAAAGGTACCTTTGCAGCTTTGGATTTGAAAACCACGTTCAAGTTCCAACCCTCGAACAGCTGATCTCCAGCCAATAAATCCCTGGGTAGTCTTAGGTACTGGAGGAGATGGAATCACCTAGAATAAAAGTAACATGTAGAATTCAATTATTAAAAGGTTTTTGATTGTAATTTCTGTCATGCAACATCCTCTTTTGTGCTGTAGTGTGGATAGAAATGAGAACTTATAAAAAATAGTGGTTTTAAATGCAATCTGATAATATCCTGAACACACACTGACATTAATGGAAGGAAATAAGAACTTCGAAAGACAGACTAGTTGCATGCAAGTTTGATTTATAATACAGGATAGTTTATAATTTAAAAAGTCATTAGAATAATTTAAGTCCCACTCTATAGCA